TAGGGGCCCCGGGGGGGGGGGGGGGGGGGACAGAAAAACCTCGCACATAAAAGAGCCTTCAGATAAAACAGCACAAGCACAAGCACAGATCCAAGCACAGGAACAAGCACAGGGCCACACGACTGTTTACCAGTCATCGCCTTCCACGGGCTCCAAGCCGCCGGCACGGCCGACATAATCACAAAACTCCTTGAATAGCACCATGCCACCGTTGTTCGTATCAATCTTGGCAAACTCTGTCGCAGCCTCCTCGTCGCTCAGCACACAGCCCAGCTTGAGCATGCCAGCCTTGAACTCGGCCAAGTCAATGCGGCGATCATCGTCCTCATCCAGGCCGTCAAAGACGTCCCACAATCGCTCAAACAGAAACGCGTTGCGCATAAAGGCTGGAAACTCCTTGCGCTCAACCCAGGCATCGCCATCTCCATCCTTTAGCGTTGTCTTCTTGTAGGCCCGCATAAGAGTGGGTTTGCTCAGGGGCCAACCCTTCTCCTCGACCAGCTTGTCCAGCTCCGCCAAGGAGCAGCCTCCGTTGCCGTTGTAATCGGCTTGGCGAAACAAGGCACCAATGGCCTCTTTGCTGCCGATGGCAGCCAGCAAATCTTTGTTGGCTTGGTCTGGGGCAATGGCATCGAGCAACTTGTTTACATCAAAGCCCGCCGTTGCCGAATCTGCCGATCCAGCATCAGTGGCATCCTCCTGCCATTGAGCATCAGCGGCCTCAATGTCCGTCCCCACGGCGCGTGCCGCGTAGGCACAGAACTCCTTGAAGAGGATCTGCCCGCCGCCATTGGTGTCAATCTTAGCAAACTCTGTCGCAGCCTCCTCGTCGCTCAGCGCACAGCCCAGCTTGCGCATGCCGGCCTGAAACTCGGGCAGGTCAATACGACGATCATCACCCGTGTCCAAATCCTCAAAAACATCCCACAGCCGCTCAAAGAAGAAGGCATTGCTGATGAACGCAGCAAACTCCTTGCGCTCAACCCAGGCATCGCCATCTCCATCCTTTAGCGTTGTCTTCTTGTAGGCCCGCATAAGAGTGGGTTTGCTCAGGGGCCAACCCTTCTCCTCGACCAGCTTGTCCAGCTCCGCCAAGGAGCAACCTCCGTTACCATTGTAATCGGCTTGCTTCCAAAGCGACTTGAGAGCTTCCTGACTGCCAATGGCGGCCAACATGTCCTGCTCCGCCTGCTCCGGTGCCACCTTGGCCAGCAAAGCCTGGCCTACAATTCAATGCAATGCAAGCATGGGTCGGGTGAGACATGCATCCTCCCAAAATTCACCATAAACCAACGCTTGAGATAGGACGGAAGGCGGATACTCAGCAATGTGAGCTTACCGACAGGGTCAATGGCGGAGCTTGCTGCGACGGGTTTGGGTTCTGCAGCCTCCGCAGGTTGCTCGGATTGCTCAGCAGCCTCCGCAGTATCAGTCCCCTGTGCTTGGTCAGCATCCTCCTCAGTTGCAGCTTCAGGTGCCTCGGGCTCATCGGCCGGTGCCTCGGGCTCATCGGCAGGTGCCTCGGGCTCATCGGCTGGCGCCTCGGGCTCATCGGCAGGTGCCTCGGGCTCATCGGCAGGTGTTTCGGGATCATCGGCAGGGGCTTCGGGCTCATCGGCTGGCGCCGGGAGCTCATCGACAGGTGCTTCGGGCTCATCGGCTGGCGCCGGGAGCTCATCGACAGGTGCTTCGGGCTCATCGGCTGGCGCCTCGGGCTCATCGGCTGGCGCCTCGGGCTCATCGGCAGGTGCTTGGGGCTCATCGGCTGGCGCCTCGGGCTCATCGGGCTCATCGGCAGCCTCTTCTTCATTAGTTTCATCGTTGGCTGCAGTCGCGGGCTCCTCGGCGTCAGCAGGCTGCTCCTCGGCCGGTTGCTCGGCAGACTCCTCTGTCTGTGCAGGAGTTTCCTCATCCGCAGGTGCAGCTTCGCTCTCTTGAGCCACTTCACTTTCTTCGGGCTCAGCTTCTGATGTCGCTTCGGAAGTCTCGTGCACTTCAGGCGCTGGAGCTGTGCCAGGCTTACTCACGGGCTTGCTTGAGACAGGGCGGGATGAAGGCTGGCTAGGCGCTGAGCGCTGGGTTTCCTTCTGTGAAGCTATCATCAAAGCAGACGAGGCAAATGGGATATCCCCCAGGGCGTGAGTCTTGATGGAAACAACTTTCGTATGCATCTTCTGCCGTCTCGGAAAGGTGCTCTTTGGCGAAATTATACACGACAAACATCACAAGGCAACACCGAGCCGAGAATCTTAGACGTACGGGCGGGTCCCTGGTCTGCGAGCGTGCGAAAGTATTTGGCGCCATAGCCAATGATGTCAGCTGGCTGATCGCGTAGCACCTAATCACCACCCATCGAGCATGGAATCGTGCGTGGGCGCACTTGAGCGCACGAGATATCACCAAGCTCAAGCGTTTATCTGGCATTTCAGGATGGCCTGGTCTTCTCCAAACGCAATCACGAGATACCACACCCAAGATGCACGGGGAGAAACACACCTCCTTGGCAAAGCCCCAGAGCAGCTCATCCAAGCCCTCGGGCGGCGCCAGCTCGCTTGGCGCGTATCGCGTCGTCATGTCCTCGGGCTGCTGTGCAGTCGCTCGCCCGTCTCGATCGTCTGATTCGAAAGGATGCGTCGCTAAGGCCAACTCGAATTCCGTATTGGTGAACCCAGAAAAATACGGCTGAAACTCCTTTGAAATATAACCAGCTGGTTGAAAACGTCTGACAATATATTGTCAGACGATTCTTTGTGATGATGATCTAAACCAGATTTTGTTCCACGACAAGTCAATAGATATCTTTTTAAACTTCAAATTTGGCTGCATTTACGTATAATTCCTATTCACAAAACTACTTTGTGCACTTTAATAAAACAACAATAACTCAACAATAACTCATATAGTTGAGTATATATCCACATATAGCCGGACATGAAACTGGATACCATCAGCAATAACGATGGCTACTTCGTGCCTGTTCATGGAGGGTTGCGACCCCGAACGGCTCCAGCTCTGCGCGCCCCTTCATTTCCTTGGAGGTCGGCGCTTCCGTTTGACCTGTCTGTATCCAGGAGGTGCCCAGCTCCTGGCCCCGAGCTTAAATGCTTTCGACTGTGAGGAGTGTGTTGGTGAGTCATGTCAATGACCATCAATGCGAGCAAGGGAAGGCGCTTGATTCACTGACCATCCAGGCACAGGCTTGGCAGTCGTGTGCATCTGTTTCCTCACGACGATTTTGTGTGGTACCTCATCGCAGTCTCCCTTCATGTGTTGACGTGGTGCAAAGTAGTCAGTCATCCGGCGCCCGATCGTGCAACCTAGAGTGCCTTTTATTTCCAGTCTTCCCGTCGCCACACCAGAGATGGCCGCGGCTCCTGAAGAGGCTGATGCACAGACCCGTGCTGGGTCCAGCGGCATGTGGGACCGAATGTGGAAAGATGGCGTCGCCCGCAACACGGCGTTTGACAAGGCAGGGCCTGCACCCATCTTGATGCAGGTCCTCAAAGAGGGCGTCTTGCCCAAAGGCCGTGCTCTTGTACCCGGCTGTGGCCGCGCCTACGCTGTGGTGGCGTTTGCCCAGCACGGCTATACGGTATGTAGTGGCCAGGGAGCCAAAGCAAGAGCATGGACCCACACATCCATATGCACGACGTGCGCGATACTGATTCCGATCTGGCTATTTTTTTTTTTTTTTTTTTTTTTTTTTATTTTTTTTTTTTTTTTTTTTTTTTTTTTTTTTTTTGGGTGGTGCTTCCTGCTTGCTCTGCATCAAGTAGGCCACGGGCTTGGACCTGAGCGAGACGGCAGTTGAAGAAGCTCAGCAGGTCCTTGAGGAAAATCGTGCCAGTTTGCAAGGCGAAGCTACCGTGGCCCTCGGCAACTTTTTCGAAACAACCGGCACCTTCGACGTCATCTACGACTATACGTTTTTGTGTGCGCTGCACCCCGACGCGCGCGCTGCCTGGGCTCAGCAACACAAAAAGCTACTGGCTCCCGGCGGTACCCTATTTACCATGATTTACCCAATCACCGAGAAGACGGGTGCGTCTCGTCCTCGTCGCGCGCATTCGGCCGGGCATTGTCTTTGTTCCTAGTGGATTTTGATCGTGCATTTGGCGTGAGCTGGATGCTTCTGCAAACAAACTTCCGCTCTAACTCTTGGCGCTCTGCTGGCGGGTTGTTGATAGGCGGCCCTCCTTTCCAGATGAGCATTGAATTAGTGCAGAGCTTGTTGGAGCCGTTGGGCTTTAAAGCCTCACGCCTTGAGATGCTGCCCGACGAGCTGTGCCACCCTGGGCGTGAAGGCAAAACCGCCATCGGCCTCTGGCAGCTGTCCGAGCAGTAGGCAACCAAGCGTGCCCGTACTTTCACCCGAACCTACCCTGAATGCTTTCCCACTTCATTCAAGAGCCCATGCTGGCTATATTATTGGTCAATTGATCAAGCTCTCTCAAGCCAATGGCGGTTCACATCATGATCATCACATCCTCACTGATTTAATCGTCAACTAATCAGCCCATGAAGCAAAAAAAAAAAAAAAGAACGAAAAGAAAAAAAGAAAAGCGACAGGGAGGGTGCATTTGTGAGGGCACAGCCCTCTATACGTAGGTACGAGCCCACGTTCGAGTTGAACATTGAGGAGAAACAGAACGCACGATGGACGAATTCGTAGATGCTCTCGCTGCAAGGCAGGCCGTATCCGTCAATCTACTTCACCAAAGTTGGTGTGACCAGTTTGTTTGGCGTGGGCTTGGGCCTCGCTCTGACCACGAAGTTTGGTGCGACAGACGAGGCAGCGAAGGGTAAAACTTCCGACATCGGTAAACTGATGGCGTTCTCGCAGCGCAGCGCTGAGCTGTTGGGCTAGGCGAGCAACACGGTCAACATCGGCAATGTCGATGCGACGCAAGCAAAAGTCCTCTGGCGCTGTCGCGCCGATGGGAGACAGCACAAGTGGGTCATAGTGGATGCCATCGTAGAGGAGCAGGATGGCTGAATCATTCGGGCGGTCCTGGGCATACATGTCGACCCGACCCGTCTGAATGTCGACGGCTCCAATCTGAACGTTTAAGGCTTCGGCAAGCAGAGCAATCTCAATCCCTCCTGTGACAAAGGGTGCATTTGTGCGCAAAGATGAGGCTATGATGCTGGCCTGAATGTTGGGGGTGAGGGAGCAACGGCAAGGGTGGATGAGCGTGCAGGCGACCTGCGTGACGTACCGCCCCAAGCGTCCAGCGAGGTGATCCACTTGCAATAGTCATCTGGACTGCGGCCCAGCGTGGCCTCGGTCCAGCGCTCGGGCTCAGCGCGAATGCGACTGGCTACAGTTTGACGCAGAGGCTGCACAATGGCATTGCTGACCTGAGCCGCGGGCTGCCCAGCAGCTTCTGGCGAGACGAGGTAAGCTATGCTACGAAAAAGACAGCTGTTGTCGGCAGGCACGACGCGACGGAGAATGCACTCTCCGTTGGGGTCACCCCCGACGGCATCAGCTGGAACTGTAGACCGGGAAGGTGCCGGCGTAGAGTCTGGGGCAGGAGGGTGCGAATCTGTCTGTACGGGCGCCGGCGTTGTCGACGCAACGGTGAGCGTGTCCCCCGGCCGTAATCCCAAGGCCTCAAGGGGCTGGCTGGGATTTGAGAGATTCAGCAGCGTTGGTGGATAGCCTAACGCGCCCCACACAGCATAGACATTCTGGTGAGCCGGGAGCAGCTGATTTAAGCGCGGCCAGGTGTCGTTGAAGGGCTGGAGCTCTTCGCGCCGACACACAAGCACACGCACCTGAGCGAAGGGCTTGCTCTTGTGCCGGAATGCCCGTGATAGTCGCCAGGTGTGCCAACAGCTCATGCAGCGGTGTCTGTGCCCCTATCTCCTTTTCGTCCAATCGCGCCTGACCTCCATCCCAACGCACGCGAAGCCGGAACGGCCGTCCACCCGCCGCTGCCGTCTGTGTCGTGGCCATCAAGATGATCTCGAAGACAGTGATGCTGCCAAGAGAAAAATGAACGCGAAGCCAGTGAGAATTTTAAAGCTCTTGGCCCGTGCGTGCACACACACACACACACACACACACACACACACACACACACACACACACACACACACACACACACACACACACACACACACACACACACACACACACACACACACACACACACACACACACAGTT